AAATTGATGTTTATATAGAAGAGCAAGTTTTCCTTGTCTTTCTTCAATATGTGTGCTAAATACAGCGGAACAATGTTTTGTGGCTTCCAAATTTTGGGTAAGAAAACTTTGGGAACATGATCCACGGTTCCTTCAGGAGGGGAACTTGTGAGGAATATGGTTGAATACTGTCTTGTCTAGCACTGCCTATGCATGGAAAATGTCACTAGTGCCCCAAAAAATGGCCAGTGCGTGACGAACGGTTTCGGTAAAAACCGATGCGTCCTCCTCTGTAGTAAAATTTACCAAGTACTTTGAGAAAAAACACTGGTCTACGTTTGTCATGCAATGACTTTTTCGATAACCCGAGCATATGCAAATGAATAAGTTCATTTTTCTCCCTATTCGTGCAAATTATCTATTTTACGAACATCGTTACAAATAATTTTAAAGTAAGCGACACAGACCTGACCTATTTTTACAGGTGAATGAGCAGCTAGGCCCGCTTCAAATCTCGCTGGGAAACATGCTGATTGATATTACGAAGTTCCTCTTCATATTCCTCCTTGTGATAACTTCATTTGCCTGTGGACTGCACCAGTTGTACTACTACTACTTCTCCGAGGACAATGACATGCGGCCAGCTGCATTTTCTTCGTGGGTCATTTCTAAGTTTTTTTAATTTTCCTCCTTCAAAGTTTTATTGCTAATTATTTAACAAACAACCAATCTGCAGCAAATTCGTTATACTGTATATTGTACTACTATTCTTTCTTTAATCCTCCACGAGTGAATGTTGAATGTGTTGCAATTCTCTATGATTTGTTCATATTGGATTGATTCAGAACGATTGACGTGGAGCAACAACTTGAAGGATTTCAAAAACAAAACTAATTTGTAGACACGATTAAAGGGATCCGTCTTAACCAAACTTAAAGTGCGAGATAAATTCGGAATGTTTCCACAACGCGGAGCATTTGGCCCAGGGTGAAGATGCGGTGAGATGTAATTCCTTCGAATTAGAGGTAACACAAAATCTTGTCTTGGAGTTGCCTTGGAAGTGCTGCTAGTCTTAAGAAGTAAGGACAACTTTAATCATTTCGCTGCCACTGTAAGTAAACGGAACTTGCAGCAATCCGTGGGTGCCTTAAGGCAAGTTGATTAAAAGTTTGATCAAAAAAGTCACTTTAAAAACTGCGTTAAAAGAGAGCCATAATATGATGAGGAATAAAGATGCAACCATCTGGAGTTTGGGGAGCAAGCTTGCCCTTTCATTGCCTTTAGCCTTTTCTTCCCTACTATCTAGCTTCTCCTTTAGGCCACTTTATGGTAGACCTATTTCATGGGACACGCCCATACAAATTGCTCTGGTTTGGCTTTAATAGCTAACATCATGGTTATGAAGTCACTGGTATTACCATCGTTCGAGGAGTTGACCGATGTGGGGACAACGAAACGCTTATCGGTTTACTCTGCTCCAGCTGACGTCTTCTATGGCAGACAATCAATCAAGAGGGCCGCTTTACCATAACAAAATGACCTTACATGACAGAACTTGCTAAAAGCAGGTTCAGAATGAGAGAAGTGATTCTTAGTAGGAGATCGTAGTTATGGGCGCTTGAGGAAAGCCAAGGTGCAAATGTACATTCTGATGTCTTGTAACTGAAGTATCTATGCTCTTGCTACAATGGTGCTAGTCTCAAAAAAGGAATTGTCATTTTAAACACACCAAGTTGAAATAAGGCGATGATGGTCGAAAGAACTTAAGCGCCCTGCCATAAACTCACATATGACTTGTTTACGTTTTCTAATCCCTCCTCCAAAAGCGCACGGTAAGATGAGTAAATTTCGTCCCAGATGCAGACGGAGGAACGGGTCTGTCCAGGGTCGGACAAAACAGATCGTTGTCGGATGGCATTAATCAACCCACCCAGTTGTTGGCCAAAAAGGGTCCAAAGTAACGTGTTTGTCGGCACATACGCCACTGATTCATCAAAATATGGCTGGCACCATGAAATTTGAAGGTCTGCTCTTCAGCATAGCCTTATAAATGATGTCTGCTTAATGTTATATCAAATTGACGTAGGTGACATGGGTTGAGTTCAAACACAGAAAATTTTTCAACTATATAGCCGCCTTTTACCACGAAACAAAGTCGTGATGTCAGTCAGCATGCTCTTAGTAAGTGCTTCTCGCTTGCACTGAAAGCCAAACACTTTTTTTCCGGAAATCGGCAAAATCCGTAAAGGTCTGAGAAATAATTCTGCATCAATTTTGGTGGCTCCAAGTGGGTACAAAGCAGTCAGTTTCTGAGGTTGATAAAACTATTCATTTAAAGGCCTCCGTAACCTGGTGATGCAATAATTTCACTTCAATGCGTATCCTTCCATTTTGACCAGAAAATAGACAGTTTCATTAGAATTCTTATCTTTTTTTCCCAATGGACAGCCTTCTGCGATCCTATCAAGCGCTCTTTTGGCATCTTTTCGGAGTGACGCAAATAAATCAGTACCGGCTTCAGACAAAGGATGCCGAGGGCAAAATGGTCGACTTGAAGTCAGCCCAGGTGACAGTGACGGTGGGCGAGATACTCCTGATGATCTATCACGCCATGGCCATAATCGTACTCGTTAATATGCTCATCGCAATGATGTCAAATTCCTTTCAGACCATCCAGGCAAGTCAACTCTTCCCCTCACCATCACACTTACTCCCCAATTAACAATGAGCATTGTTATACAATCAGGGCTTTCAGTTTAGTGCAGTCGGTTATAGCACCTGCTTGGTCATACTTTGTAATATGCCTTTTACGAATCCTAGTAAGATCAGCCTAAAGAGACCTGCATGTGCAAGTATGAGGGACTAAAAATGGTCCAAAATTTTACTAATGTAATTCTTTTATTGCGACAGGTGAGTCAGGAGTGTCTCGAGAATAATTTTAACTCTTAGCATTGACTGCTGTTTGGAACAAGGGAATGATTCCGTTTGTTAGTCTCATAGCAATTAAACTTTGTCATTCAACGTCATTTCCACGCAAGTGTTAACGTCCGAGTCTCGTCGAAATATCGTGTTCGAAATGGCGGATGTAAATAAGGTGAGGGAGCCACACAGCAGACATGCAGAACGTGAAACCGTTTTTCTTTGGTCGTCTGTAAAACATCACAATCTATTCACTTCCATTTCTCACTATTCCTCAATTAACCAGACCTTTTTGAGCTAAATGGCTAGATTATTACATAACCAATTTGAAACAGATGTAATCTTAGAATCGTGCTAACTTTGGAGGCAAAAAAACTGCTAGGGATACCCTAAAGGTTGTAACTAACGGTTATTTCTGACAGTTAAAGGTTGGTTAAATTTCATTAGTTCAAATCGTTTTTTTTGAGACGTGTCGAAAGAGGAAATGAAGTTGATGGAATAATAGCTTTGCTATTCTCATGCATCCATATTTCTCGGCGTGCGCTGCTACTCATAGCTAAAAAGTCCTGTGAGGTTAGAACCCGAGACGAAATGGAGAACCTCCGGGTAGTTCCGCCCAATCCTACGAGGAAGCGATAGCAACAGCAATAATAGAAAAGCAAACGTAACCATTAACTCGAAAAAAATGAAGGGTTGATGAGACAAGACGTAATTGAAACCAAGAACAGGGGACAATTAAAGTATGACAGCAAAGAATTCGGCAAATTTACGCTCATCCCAACACGAATCTTAGGATTAAAGAGCGTCGGCCTTAAAGACTTGCCTTCAACGCCAAGTTACCGCTGGACATCTCATTCAGTCCCATCATCAGTGCACATAATTGCTCACATTTGAAGCAGCTCACAACTTTTATTTAAGTCACGGAGTAAAGTTACGCACACTTGTTTTTCCCGATATGCATGGATGTGATGGGTTATTTACGTTATTCGCTATTTAATCCACTGCGTGATTTGTTTAAATGAAGGGTCATACTTCGCTTAGGCGCCATTGATCAAGTGGCTCAAGCTCGGAACCTGAGCAGGTGTGGCTACTGCGATGAAGAAATTCAGCCATTATCACTACAACCACTAGGATCAACTTGAACCATTGTTAATGTACAATCTCGCATCGTCTATGACCCTTCACGAGAGCGTAAAGCTTTCAGACTGTCGCCTTCATGCAGGAGACGCGTTTGTCGTCATAATATGTCTACCTGCCGTTCGGATTGGCTTGTGGCAAGGCTAGCAACGACGAATCCGTGGCAGGGCCGAGTTGATTCTGCTCTGAGTAGCACCACATCGACAGCATGGCTTTCATTCCGAACTCGAGAAGTTGATAGCCCCACATTGACATGAACATGTTTCCACTTAATTGTTCTTGTATTTCGGTGGGTGGAACTGTTGCATTCAAGTCGAATGCTTGAAAGCAGCAGTCGATTTAAGAAAAACTAAACATTTTTTTGTTTAAGGCAGATAACCTTGCCTTTAGTTAAGATCTCCGTAATGGATAAAGATTTGTGAATTTTCATCCTTTCTACTCTCTACTGTGATTCCAATACAGCCAATGGTTGGATAACTTCATAATCTAAATAAAAAACTGCAAAGTTTCTTGAAATTAGCTTCTAAGAAGAATAGAGTCTTATTCTGTTTCGACGCTAAAAGCTATTGGGCGTAAGATACACCTTACTGTTCTAAGCCCATAAAATGTGGAAATAATCCCGCCTCTAAGTCAACGATTTTGTTAGGCGAAGATGGTTGCCATTTGCCTAGCTTGTTACCTCCTTCCGCAAAACATATAATTCATCGCAGTATGGTTAAAAAATCTTGCCTCCTTTTTTTACTTAAGATACTACGATGAAAATAACATTTGCCCATACTCCCTAGTGAGTTATCAAAATCAACTGCCTGAAACACTGAATGATTTTTCATCGCTTCTAACACTTAGAACCTCCTTGTGACAAATCATCAGGACCTTATTGTTTGGCATAACTGCTTCTGCTTATCGAAGCTAAATAGCCAAGTTGCATGAACAGGCAGTCTTTTCCTAAACGACCACCTTTCAAAACGCAGATAAAAGGTGCTCAATTCTAATATTAAGTTATGCTAAAATAAAGTTGGGGTTTCCAAGACAAAAGTTGTGAGAGGTACGGCAACAGGTATATTGCAATCATTCGATTGTGTCGATGCCATCAAAGACCAAAGAATTGAGGCGCCACATTAATTCATTAAAATCAACGGTCCTTGCTTGTTGGCGTGCGAAAGTGTAGGTATGAAGAGAAAAGGTAACCAAACTCATTTCTCTGCATTTTAACAAAATAAAAGTAAGGAAAGTCGCTATTGATAAATTGAATGTCGTTGGACAGAACCAGGCTGATACTGAGTGGAAGTTTGCCCGCAGCAAGCTCTGGCTCGGCTATTTCGATGAGGGCTCTACTCTGCCACCGCCACTAAATACTATCGTCAGTCCCAAATCCATCTGGCGATTTGCAAGAGGCCTCATTCATCTCCTTACCTGCTCCACTACATTCGCTTCGGTGACCGATGACAAATCAAAGTTGCCGCCCACTCGTGGGCGTATGCGCCATCGATGCAAACACAGTGGAACTGTGAAGCCGTTCTCTCCTAATCAAGCTAACTCAACCACTGGACACAGGAGTTTGTGGTCCGACCACTCGGTAGAGCCGACTATACGTCTTCCCAGCTCGGTTAGAAACGAAAAGTCGACTTCCTCATCGGATAATGCGACTCACTTCTCAGGTTTGGCAAGGGCTGAGAATGTAAGAAACATATTCATGACGATGCTTTTCACATTCTCTAAAATTAGCTTTTGCATCCAGTTTAGCTTTGTCAAAAGAAAAAATTACGTATCACAGGTGAACTGAGGTGTGCTCCTGCATACCCACGTAGAATTTTATAATACTTTGTTTTTTTAAAGCTAGGGAAGTGAAATTCTGCTACTTGCGAAAAGAACAAGTTATGGCGCCGAGATTTGAGAAAAGTTATCAACCTGAGAAGCTTAGATTGCATTTTAAGAGGTGTTTCAACATCAAGCATTTAAGCAAAATAATGGTTTTGCCGTAAACTAGGCAATGGTGCGTAAATTACGCCCAGACTGTGACTGAACTTGCATTAACAGCTAAAAGACTGGGATTAAGCGCAGGAGTGCCATTCCTGACGTCTCTTACTCATCGTTCCGAAAAACACTACGGAAATGTGTGTGTAATGTCTGCAAGTGTGTGAATTCAGCGATTGCGACGACTTTAGGTAAAATTCAACTGGGCTCCAGGGTTTTGGATTTGCCTAATGATTTGACTGTATTTTTGGTTGATCAAATACTTTTGTGCTGAACTTGTTGCTTGCTTGCATGACAAATCCGGCAGACAGAGCCTACTTTATCGCATAAAATAGTAAAAACTTGGTGTTTTAGTAACCGAATGAAAATCTAGTAGTTTTCAATTTGATGCGTCCTAAAAGACGTCGATAAATGAAAAATTTGTGCCGTATTGACAACAAAAAACGGCTCGACATCTTTCACATTCACGGAGGGATTAACTGATGCAAAGGTTCAGAGTGAGGCAGTAAACATTTACCACTTAATGCAATGAAAGATTAAATCGGCGCTAAGGCAGACTTGAGTTCTACTGATGATTGTATTGCCGACACGAAATGAAGGCAGACACTCCTACTGGTCAGCTCCCCTTCAATTTTCAACTTAAATTGGTCATTAATTACACTCCTAGATGAAATTAAATGCTTTTGGCTTTTAAGAAGTCTGTAAATTTCATCTGAAATGGTAATCATTTACCTTTAGTTGAAAGTTCACTCGGGCATTTTGTTGGGTGGTCGTTGCGAGTGGTTGTAAACCACTTAATTATGCCGGTTTCGCTTGGACTTGCCACCACTGGAAAGGAGTCGATTTTTTCATGTAATGTCCATTCATTACAAATCAGTTGATTTGGTGGTACACCACCAGCGCCTACGCTGGGTATTTAATGAGTAGTGCATAGCTACATGCCCAAATTAGTACCGAATGACTTCTTCCATTTCAGACTTCAGGCGAAAAGTCAGAAAAGCGACATTCTTATCAGGTTAGTTTCCCTTCCATATCACCAACTTTTAACATCTTAAGTTAGAAAAGGATAAATTGAGAGCAAACTTTATGTGCGGAATGACATCGGAAGCCAAGCCTCAAAAGTTTGTTTTAAAATTCCCCTACTGTAAAAGCCTCTTGTATGGTCAGAGTAGAACACTGTACGCTTTCATTCTAAAAGCAGGTTTAGGAACTAGATTTAGTTAAGACATTTTTCAATATATATATATATTTCTCCATTTTATCTCCACCTCCCTCCTCTACTCCCAGGCCATAACACGTATTCTGGTGCGGCGATACATCCACGTGTCGAAAAAGACGATGCGACAAGGTGTAGTTAACGAAGACGACCTTCTAGAAATTAAACAGGATATTTCTAGTCTGAGGTCGGTTTCTATGATTGATCCGCTCCTTTTTAAGTTTGAACAAGGCGTTTGCATAGCCACTTTAGAGGCCTGACGTTGATAGGGTGCCATTACAAATTAGCCGAAGTAAGCATTAGTGTGAAAAGCGTTTGCGTTACACCCACTCGCTGATAAACCATTTAGTTGCGTGATTATCGCGAGCATTCGTTCGCAAAAAATTTGTTGATAAAACTATATGCTCTTTTGGATAAAGCAAAAGCTACTGTACATGCATTTGAAGGGAACAGTTGGTACCTTTCCTTTGTTAGAATAGAATAGAATAGTGGAGGGCAGTAATACCCATCTGGAGATTTCTTTGAACCCACATTAAACTGGTAAGACGTAGAGCATGAATGCTGATGAAAGAGGTCATGCCACAGACCGACATACAATTTGTGACAGTTGAAGTGCTCGCACAATTCAAAATATTCAACTGTCACACAAATATCAATCGTTCGGATAGAACTTCCATCCCACCCTCTTGAAGGGTAACGCAGAATGCCCCTTTGTAGCATGACGAATGTGTTTTACTTTGCTTTGGCGAATCGGGACAGATATGAACTGCGCGAGGATAGGCAACGCGAGGTAGCGCGCTCGATTGGCCACTTGGAGGGTCTGAAGTATCAGCTGCTTTCGGTGCTAGTGCCACACCATCGACAAGAACGGGAGAATAGTTGCACAAGATGGGTCAATCCCCATCTTGGTGCTGTTCCACGATCTCCACAGCCGCCGTCGCATTCTGTCGAGCCCAGCGAGATACCCTTCGTCCCTGGACTTAAGGCTCTGGGTGCGCAGATCCAAGCTCTGCGTGAAGAGGTCTGTGCACAATAGCTAATGTAAATTGAATCAAAATGTAAAGCCCATCAAAGATTTCTTCTAAAAATTAAAACGGAGTGTTGAATGTGAGATTCCAGTACGAAAGTTATATTCAGCCTCAGCGCAGGTGCGTTACGTCCATAAGTTCAAAAACCTATTGTTCGATTGAAAACCATGAGAGCGGACGAGATTATTTTAGTTTGATAGTAATTTTGTCTCCAAGCACACAAAATAGTCGGAAGTTTTGTGGTCACTAGGCGCAAAACAACCGTTACGTATGAATATGGCATTGGCGGGTCTCCAAAACTAGAGTGCTGAATGCAGCCAGGCCGCCCAAGTATACATGTCGCTCAGTACGTTTCTCTCACTCCTTTACAGATCCGTCGAATTCCTACTGGAACAAACACTTCATTACCCTTAAACTGTCTACAAGCCACTACCACAACTAGTGAAGACCTGAAATGCTTGAAGGATGAGATCATTGGGGAGGTTAAAGGCGAGTTGCACAGCTTTGCACGACAGTTAATGCAGTTTATGAGCCAATGCCAGCAGCCCAGTGGACCGTCTTCGGGGAGTGAAACTCTACCAACGCCCAGAGTAAGCACAAACGTTCCTCTTTCCACCTCTTCTCCCTCCCCGCCTCCAGCGCCTCCACCGGCATGGGGCACTCTCAACATTGACCGTGAGCGCATTGGCGGGGTTTCGGTAACGTACAGATCAGGCGCCGCCTCGGGACTCTCTCTGCCTGCTCCGAGACGGGCTCAGCCTGGGCACCAGCGTTAACGCGCACTGCACAGAGTATCAACTGCCGTCTATGCAGCCAACACCGCTCATTTTACTCATTCGCATACTCAAATATTCACTTCTGACTGCAAACAACAGTAACCATGTATGCTGGCGTCAAATTACAGCGCCCAAAGCACGCGCTTCACCATAATATAAAAAGATTGTTTGTAAACAGAGATTATTTTCACCGTCTTCATTCTTCTTATGCTTCTCATTAAACTGGGGAAGTATGAGCCCCGCTACATCGAGGTATTTAACAAGGTACCGCTTATTTTATGGTGCCCTTAATTTGCCTTAAAACAGCCACAAAACAACTAAAAATTTAGCGCAGATTACACGGCTATTCCAGTCTCAAACGTCTACAATCCAGCAGAAGAGCTCCTACTCTCATTAAAAAAATGACCTCCAATAACCACCCACAGAATTCGACAAAGAAGAGCAAAGGAGCTGGTTATCAACTCGCATAAGATGATTTGACAATACAATAGGATTATCCAGCATTGATCAAGAATAATAAACAGTTCCATCGGCTCCTCAGTGTTAGCTCATTCCCCACTCAAGAAGGGTTCACAATTGCCCTCAGTATCCTCGAAGTTGGGTTTACAGCTACCTTAGTATTAGTCATGAGATTGAATGAGTCTTGAAGGAAAACTGCAGTTCTGCTCTCCATTCACCCTTGGCTCGCATTCTTGTCTTATTCAACTTGGGTAAATGAACCAAGTCGCTTCAATAAGTACACCAGGTTTAACCGGCGCTCAACTTGGTAGTTTTTAGTCATAGACCATTCAAAAAATATATGTAAAATGAATGTTTTAGCCTCCTTGGTGAGGACAACAATAAGAGATAGAAATGGCACTGAATCCAATCTTCTCAATACCCAACAAGCAAGCAAAGTCCCCAATCTTGTCAATTTGTAATGAGTAAATTAGCCTCAAAACTTAAATGAATTTTAAGTTTGCATACATTGCTACCACCGCCACCTGTTAAAAAGTCGCATTTAAAGCAAAAACACTAGGAATTGACGTGCCTGGCAATGCATCAGTCATTGCCTGTGAAACTACACTCTAGCAAGTAAAACCTCTCTTGATCTCCTTACTGAGGTATGAATATTGAATGACACCAGTGAAAGTTTGATTTCAATATTGTAATCAACATTTAAACATGACTGTTCCATTAGAAATGGTGAAAGCCAGTGGATTAGTGGGTCAACCTGAGAGGCGGACGCAAAGGTCATTGAGGAGAATCTCCTGTGTGTCTGCAGTCTTGTCTTTCATATCAATTGCGATGCGCGACCGTAATTGTGATGAGTTCAATTCGGCTAAGTGGAGCAGAGCAGCATCTTGAAGTGCCGGAAGCTCGTGCTTGCGGCCCAGATAGTAGGCCAGAACTGCCGATCCACCCTCCATATACTTGTAGAGAAACTTCTCACACTGTCTAATTACGTAGGGCATCTGATACTCCTTTCCCATGTCCATAAGGCCCTCCACGTTAAGAGGACCAATTTGAAAATCAGTGTTGGGATAAATAAAACGAAGGAAATTGTGGACGCAGTCAAAATCAAAGGGAATTGAGACAATCGGTCCAATGTCACCACAATTGAGGCTAGCAGCATGTCGGAAGCGCTCGTAGAACCAAGGAGAATTCATAGCTAAGACTTGACGATGTGCAAAGAGTTTCCGATTGTTTGGATCTTGTGGCAAAAGCTGTACGTCCGCAAAGTGATCTGGCATAGTGAAGTCTGGCAGACGAACTGTCCTCTTCGTTTTGATCGGGTGACAACACGCCGTGAATATAGGAAACTTAAACCAAATCTTAGTGATGTTAATGCGAACGTCAGCCTTCTTCACCGTCCCCAGAGTAACCCAACGTTCATTCATCACTTTCGGCGCTAGAGATGTGGTCAACCATGAGCTTCCCTCGAACTTGTGCTTCACCATCCAGTGCATGCCGGCAAATTGAATGCAGACTTCACAGTCGCCGCGCAAGTAGCTAGGAAAATCGTAGGCGATTCGCGGTTGGTACTGATTGGGGCCGGTTTGGTAGAAAAATATAACCCATGAAAGACCTGGGATCTTTGGGTGACTAACCGTGATTTGAGCTGGTTGGTCGTTCAGATTCACCTCACGAGAGCATGTGAGCACCAAATCATGCTCGTTGAATGTGAAATCGCCGCACCTAGGACCGGTTTCATCCGTCAAAAAGTGCATAAGTTGACTTCCACCAACATACTTAGAGTCCATGTCCTGAGAAGCGGAGGCGCGTAGCCCTAACGTTCTTTCACGCGTCTTCCCTTACAAGTGAGCACCAACTCGCGATCGATAAATTCAAATGCAGGACAGACCACATGTTTACGCGTTACACCGATCTGCTCACACCACCTAATGGGGACCAGGAGAGGGAGGGAAAAATGGGGAAATAACTTCAGCCCTTCAACAATACAACACTCCTATTGATGAAGTAATTCTAAGGAACAATTGTCGAAATTTCCAGGTCACCTTGGCGCCCCAGAAGCACTCAGTTGTTACTAAGGTTACCAGACAAATCGACACACCTAGAGGTACTTAATTAATTAATGGGAATATCAGGTAAAGGAAAAGCTTGAAAACGTGAAACCAACTTAGAACCCCGCGTTTTACCTTCAATATGCCTCATTAATGTACACTTTCAAAACGAGCAAAAACCAATGCTCAACCCGTTCCGAAATAATTCTTCTTTGCATCTTGGAAACATTGTGAAAACATTAAATCCCGCGGAAAATTAAAATGGGCATCACTTACGCCCCATCAAAGTACACTACATCATACGCACACATCCGCAGAAAATAACCGAATGGAATAGTATTGGCCAACACCTTCCTTTTGTCCATAGCAAAGAAAGTGACTAACAAATTTTACATATGCAGAAACAAATGCAAGATATCAGAAGGTGTAGAACAATCATGGATTTAGTGAGTCATACTTGACCATCAAGAACAGCCTTCCAGAGCCAGGCTGCGGGACCTCTGGTGTGCAGATGCAGGTGCCTCAAATCCTCGTTCATCAGCATTGATCTAATTGTCCGCGAAGTTTCTACGAGGTCGTGCTTCCGAACGCTACTGGTGAAAGCCGCCATCTCCACGTCTATGAAGCCTTCGAGGCAACTATCTGGGATGTCATTAACCAACAACTCTACTAGAAGAGATTCTGAGCTGGCTACGTCCGAGAGGAAGCTCTCCACTTGTTCGTCCAACACACGCAATGGGACTTTTCCATCTTCTGGTACTGCTGCTGCTTTGGGCAGACGCCGCCGTACGTCCTGTGCAGTCAAACACAGCCACCGCGATATTAGGATGTACTTTAGAAGGATGAAAAATTCCGCATAGTTCCAACCCGCCCACGCCTTTAAGCACTCCTAAAATGAGCAAACAAATGCTTTTCGCCAATAAACATTGAGACTACTAAGTACCACTTATATGTTCAATTACGCAGTCACATCAAAAGAATTAAGGGCTAAGACAGTCTATGATCTACTTTAAAAGAATAAGTAACGTAATTTCCGATCCCAAACCCACCTGACAAGCATCTTCCCAACCTGGTGTAGATTCAACGTCGATGCAGGACTTTTTCACCTCTCGCAATTGTGTCTGCAAGTGTCGCCACACGAGAGCCACGTTGCACGCGTTCAGCCAGTTATTGTTAATTGAGATACAATCTGTCTAGAGGGAATAAAACATCAATTACAAGGTCAAAGGATGAATTCACATACCACATTCAAAACCTGGTGGTACCAACCAGAAGGGACGAAAAACATTTCGCCAGGTTGCTGATCAAAAATGTAACACTGAGGGAGGTCGGAATCCGTGATTCCGGGATCGACAAAGTTGCGGTCACTTATGTCCGGCGGGAGCTGGTTACCACTTAACAATGGCAACTTTTTCTCCTCTCCTGAAGGAAAAAGACCAACCCAAATAAAAACCATGTGTTAGACCAATAAAACTAAATGAGAACTGTGATTAGACCGGGACTAAGTACTTATTTGAAAGAGAAAGATCGAATTAATGTTTGTTTCCTACCGGGAGGAAAGACCCACCAACGCTTGCAACCCACAATGTTGGCGGACCAACTGTAGGAACAGTAGACGTCGGTATGCAAGGGCGTCCATGTCCCCTTCGGTCCAACGTAGACGAAACGAAAGTCATCGTCACAATCAGTGCGAAATTCGTGGAATTCATTTAACCAATCGGAGGAGAAATAAACAGGCTGGGAGTAGTAGTCGTGATAATCTATCCCTCTACAAAAGCGTATACAGCCGATGAAGAATCGAGTTTTACTTAAAGTAGTGCCAATCCTTCAGATAGAGTAACCGCTTAGTCCCATCGCGACTAAAAGACTTCCAGTAGGCCCAATACTCTTCTGTCGTCATAGTAAGAGTTGAATGTGCACCAAACTCAAAATCGCTGCAATTCGCCACACATACTTCGATGCCTGGAGAGTAGTGTGAAGAGAGGCTATGAAAATGAACCTGAAAACGGCTTCAACACTTCGTCAATGTTGATAGAACCATTTTCGGACCATTTCGCCCTAGCAGGCCAATCGCATGTGTGACTCTCGGTAAAAAGGCAGGGAAGATTGGGACGCAAAAATCTATATAACGTAAGAGCTGCTCACCAACTCACTTAGTATAAAAATCGCAATATCTATAGCTGGGATCTAGGTAAGGAATAGGTGTAGAAAATTTAACTGACATCCGGAAGAGGCACGGAATTAGAAGCCTGAAAGATATAAACAACTAGCTTCAGCTCTCAGCAAGAAAGATGAAAAGTGCATCCAGCATAGCTGTTTGAACTTGCAATTTTTGACAGGTAGCACTAGTTCATGAAAGACAAATCAGAGCACATATTAAGTGATAAGTTAAGGATCACAAATCATGTAACATTCAGGGGCATAAGAATACAATGCGCACGTAATGTGCCAGTTGTATTGACATGCGCATCACGGATTGGATGCCCTCAGTCGCAACGACACAAAACATGACGGAAATGAAGGATGACAAAGGCAACAGCACAACTATATATCTATATTGTCCTCACTTCTTAAAGTAGAAGCACGATTACTGGCATAATGGGTAGACAAACGCCAAAAGAGCACTCACACTTAAAAAGCGCCGTCGAGTAATTGAATTAGGCGCGTTTTAGACGCACCATGCAACATCGAAGATTGAGAGAGTACAGTTGTTGAGTAATAAGGTAAAAGTTCAAATGTAATAATGGCAAAAGCTTTTAGTCAAAATAAGAACGGTAAACGTTGCCCAAATATATTATGGGTTTGCGCAATTTTGGTGGAAAATCAATATGCCGCGAGCAAAATGCGGAGAAAAGACATATTTCGCCAGAAAAATTGGCACATATCTTTGATCTACTAAATGATAGCATGTGTAGTGCTTTGTTTATGCGACCACCTGACGTTTGGCGATCACTTTAGGATTTGTTTTTCCCTTTTACTCGTGGGATGGCCTTCGGGCCATACTTAGGTCTGATTGCTTTGTTCTCCTTGAAACACGTGTATCTAGCTTCACTTACTTTCTTTACCCAGTGAAAAGTCTCGGGACGCTAAATTATGTTTAGAGCTTTAGTTTGTTGCTAGGATTGGCTGCAAATCTGACTGGGGATAGTACTTCTTCCAAGTGGTCTGGCCTGGGGTCATGCCAAAAAATCCAACCTCCTTCCCATTCATCTCAACATATGCCTCTAATTCAAGCGCTTTAAGTTCCATTACCGGGACCTTACAGAGGCAGCAAGCGCAAATAATATGATTATAAGAACATTTGCCTTCTTTAGAATGGAAGGATGGAGAATTAGGCCTGCCTTTGACATACACTTAGTTGCTTTTTCCACAGGAAAACTAGTGGCAATAGGAAAGTAATAGCTATCGTAAAATCCTTTGGGAAAGTTTCGTCCCGGATTTTTCTTAACCAACTTACTAGGAAGCCTTGGTAATGTGGTCACCTGGATGTTTTGGATGGTCTTTGGCTTCAGGTAAGGCCCTTTTTTACTGCTCCGCCTTCCAAAATACATGTCTTGGGACGCTGTATCTGCATATAGACGTCGACAGTATGGTTTTGTGCCATGTCCCATCCGCACGGGGCTGTATAAGCCTCGCCCTTTTTTTTAGAATCCTTTTTAGATAAGTGGTACGACGTCTAATTACAGATGCACATGATGACCTGTAGAATTTCCTGTCTACTAAATCCTCTTTTACTTCCCAAGCAAAATTCTAGCGCAGTTGAAGATGTTGTTGTTGGTTTAGTGGCAATGAAGTATAATGCCTTTTCTCACCCGCAAAGGAAAGTGTGGCTGGTTAGATTATGTTTTCTTTTAACAATACTTACATCGCCATTGGTGATTCAAATGGTGTTTTTGGAATGCTATTCAATGCTTTATCTGACTGCCGAAATTTAATTTTAGAAGTAGGTAGACAAATTATTTCTGGTGGACTAGATTGCAGCTTTCCGGGACTTCCCACCAGCTAGAAGAGGGCATTAAGTTAAGCTAAGTGCAAAGGTCTAAGTCCTGCCTCTTTGCCAAAGTAAATGCATTCAACTCAAGTACCCTCTTTTTTCTCGATCGCTTCACTGTACTCGTTTCCTTTTCGACGTTAGGCTTACCACTTGGTGGTCATGGCCTTTATCTTTACAAAACCAGCAAGCCTAAACATTGCTCAAGGCTCCTAATGCATGGTGGAGGAAATTTTACCAAAGGTGATAAAGTTGTTTTGAACTCATTCGTGGACATAAATCCACGTCACGACACCATCCCTTTAAGACTTGCCACCTAAGTATAAGCAACTGCGGATAACAGTCAAGCGAACAATGCATTGTCAACACCTATATGCGGGTTTGGTAAGGGACAACTGGAACCGATGCTTCAGTCTTCAATAGCTTACCAGTGGAACATGGGGGTGGTGTGGATGCCGAACCTAGGCGTCGTTGTCGGTCCTTTCGTTGTGCAGACGTTAGAGATTTACCGATTCGAGGCAATACCTCATTTACACCACAGAAGTTTATCATGGAGGATGAACACCAGTATTTTAGTCGTAGCAGAGTTGAGTTGGCTTTCCGTTTTCACCGGTGTAACCATAATACTTTGTAGATGTGACCGTCTGATGTTGGGCCGTGACGTCGATATTCGTTTAGGCCTTGAACGTGTTGGCTGGCCTTTGGGTCGTGCCAAGGCCCTATCCCTTCTTCCTCTCTTAGAATACACGCATTCTGCTTAACATGCTGCTTCTTCCACCTGGCGGGAGGTCACGGGGAGCTAATATTGACGCGTACAAGGATACAATGAATAGCATGGTAACCTCTAAACATCAGATGAATACCTAACCAAAGTAGTAGTGGCGTTCTGAGGCTTCGCATTTGGTAGATGAAGGCAGTGGGTAGGGCAGAATACATGAATACAAGGGTAAGGGACGAGGAGGAGATTGGGCTTCGGCTTGGTCAAAAGGTCAGCTTGTGCAAACAAAAGCAAGGAAAATACCGAAGGGACTGCCAGCCATACAGGTAGTCAAATAGGCATGGTATTATACGGCTTGGTGACTCCTAGTGTTGAGTAAAATCCTGACCAGGTGAATTGCGCCAGGCAGTATCCCTGATTAGTTGGAGGTCTCACCGAGACATTCCAATTAGTTGGATCAAATCTAATTGATTCCGCAAACTGCAGGGAAGTAAAGCCTTTAAGCATTTTCCGTAGTTCCCATTGCAGGTGGAGTTGCACAATAATTGGATCCAGGAATTTTGTGTACCTGGGCCAAGGAGTGGTGGAGCTCCTCGACAAGTTGCCATTGAATAAATCATTCGAGTAGTGAAACATTATTGCACGCTAAGAGGTGAGTTGGAATTCAACTCTTGAAAGCAATGCCTAGGTGACCCCAAAGCTACTGCGATACTGCCACTACAGCATCTTAGTTATGGTGGTAGTTTCGGCACCGATGACTCAGCAATGGGTGCTAACGTAGCGGTCGCATTCACCGCCCATTCATTTTACCAACAGCAGGAGGAAGGTGCACCGAGGTAGGTTATTAAGCCCACAATTGTGTTTGCAGCACAATAGTTCGGATCGGGACTTACAGGGATCAAAAACACAAGAGGTGTTGGGAAAACTAGACGGGTCTGACAGTCAAGTTATGCAAGTTACGCTGATAGAACAGACACTCTGATCTACGTGATGGTCAAAAACATGGAAGTTTTCTAAGCCCCAACGAACATTAGCCGATTATAGGGAATTAAACAATTTTACGAAAGAGCTCATGCTCTTACCTCACATAAATTTGTTAAATTTTTTACGCATGCAAAAATTAACTAAAAAAGACTAAGTTTGCTATGCGATGCAGCGCCCCCTCCGTCGGACTTGCACTACCTGAACCAGGTCCAAAGAATTACACTCTACGGTGAGATCGCCACTGCGCTGTATGTTCATAGATCTTGCAGGACATTTTTTAAAAATGTAATTTGGAATGCCTTAGTGGGTGCAGGGAGAGAAAGCCATATCATGCTTTCAATGTTGGGTTCTTTTAACCTAACGGAAATCGCTGAATAACCAGGAGGATAGAGTAGGCTTAACCAGGGGACACCCTAACATGAAATCCTCAAATTGTGCGCTGTGATTTGTGCTGAAAGGTCGAGACATAAACGTATGCAATAGAGTCGATCAAGCTGTTAATCGAGGACCCTTAGCCACAAGGTCGGAAAATGAACCTGGATTTGGTGTCTCCTAGCTCATAAGGCCATAATTTGTACAGATTACGTTGGCAGTGTTTTCTGATTCCTTATTATCATCAACAAAGCGTTGAATTGCTACGCCCTAGGGTACACGCCATGATCGACTGGATACCTTCCATTTTGGACCTTAAGTCCTAACATCCAGGCACATAATTTAGTGGGGGAAGGACAAATGCAGCCATTACGATTCCATTCGAGAAGACAACTTGTTAAAGGTCTACATAGCTTCTTCTGTTTCCAAAGCCACATTCCGGACCCAATCAGTCTTATGAGTCTTAAATGAGAGAATAGTTACTTGTGGTTCATGACCATTAAATGGTTTTATTAATGAAGTCGAAGGCCTATCATTGCAATTCTACTGTATGTTGGCTACAGTCAAAGAGACCACGCCAAGAGGAAATGTTTTGCATAGGAATAAGGTTAGCACTGTAAATCGAAGTTGATGCAAAATTGAAAACTTTGGATCGCTCACTTCGTCATTACATTCGTAGCAGGCGCCTAAGAGGGGCGCAAGAATTAAAATAATGTTTCTATTATTTATAAATTTGTTGGATAATATCAATGATGTGAAACGTCTAGCAATATAAGTAGGTCTTAACTGTTTGGCACAAATTGAAGTTGTGGAAATTCATGAGGGGTTGAGGTTGTCTTGCAAAGCAGTTAAAATCCAAATTTCCATGCTGGTGACCATCATTTACTTTGCCATTTATTGGCGTTGAGCACGGTTTAAGCACAGGATGCCTTTGGCTCTTTGGCTGTTATTCCGCGCTGCCCTCTCCGCTTGTATCGTCCGATGTAGTGTACATGCGTCTTGCGTGATTCATTGCCTTAGGCATCCTAATTTGGCGTCTATAGTTGTCGGCAGTATTTTGCAAAAGGCTTGGCATTCTTGCATCAGCTTTCAAGAGGTGGATGGTGCTGGAGGTCTCCAGTCTTCCTCTGTAGGCTGAAGTGGAGCACCTCTTGCACGCTCGTATTACATCCCCTCGACTCAGCGGATATCCTACTCCTCGCATAAGGTTTTTTGATATGACAGTCTTCTGACCATGGTCACTGCGAGATTCACTGCGTGCTTGCACGTCCACGTTCACCAATTGTGCGTACCCGTTGAATTCATTTATACTCTGATTAACACAGGAAAAGTCACGCAGTCGCCCTAAGGACGAGAATGTTTGTGAGGTCTTTTTTGACACCCGTATGCTGCCATGTCGTTTTACTTTAAACGAAGTTAACAGCGAAATTCCTCTCTTAATACTAGTGTCTATCTTTGGTATTGAGATGTTCATGTCCACTTTACAGCCGGTTCCTTTGTCATTGGGTAAAAGTGAATCAGTATCGGTGAAACCAAAGAGAGCGCCACTTCTCCAGCGTCTTTTTACCATTTCCTTACCATGGCTCTTTGGATATAGCAACATCTTCCTTTCTCTGCTGTTAGAATTATGAGTTTTGGATTCCTGTTTCGAGCATTCCACAGAATGTTCATCATTTCCACACCAATGCATGGGGCTATCAAGGTCAGCCTCCACGATTTGAATATACTGACTCGCCGCAAGTGCATCTAATGGGAGGTCTACGTCGGAATTTAAGTTCTCGCAGTCCCACATTGATTCACTGTTCGTACGATGCCGTGGAGTTACAAGTTTACTCAATACCTTCGTCAGTCTTTTCTTCAATCCGAAGTTGCCAATAGAACGACTTGACTGAAAAAGTTTTGCTACCTTACTGGGCGAAATCCAGGGCTGTTTCACAACGTGGAATTGCTCTGCCACTGAGAGTCGATTAGATTCTATCAACAACTCCACGACCTGTGGAGGTTGGTACACACTTCCTTGACTGTAGGATCGAAATATGTAAGTGGCCCAAAAGGTAACTGGTCGTTCTGTAAACTCACAAAAGTACTGAGGGGATTGTCTCTCAGTTATGAGAGGTATAAATACTGGGCAGTAGTCATTGCACATTGGTGAGATCAACCATTGTTCGTTTGCAGAAGTTGAATTTGGAGCAGCCGCTGGAGAGGCATTATCAATCACAAATCCTTTGGAATGCAACTTTTCAATGTAGTCGATGAGACTTGCGGAACTTTCAATAAACCTTCCAAATTGTAATAGCACCTCATTGAGACTGTCTAAAATTAAATTTTCCACTCTTTCATTAAATTAATAATGGCTGGATTATAGGTTGAACTTATTTTGCAACCATGAAGGAAAACTGCCTTATAAGGCATGTGACCATTTCTGTGAGCGTACTAACCGAATTTCTGCTTATTTTATTTACAAAATTTGAGATTACCATCAACTTTAAGCAGATTTCCAGGCGATCTTAACTCCGTTGTTGAGGGTTCTGCAGGATCTGTTGTCCTGCTGCAATCTTGTTTGTTGCGACATTTGGATTTGGCAAACTGCTCAAACAGCGATCCTAGATCCACCTCGATCCTGACAGTTTCTGCAGGGTCAGAATCATGCGATGGGTCTCTAGTTTTGGCAACATCAGCGGCTTCGCTTGAAGCCATTAGGCTCTGCTCCATGCCAAATTCCTCCACCTTAACAGGACTTATAAGGTGATTCCTGCGCTAATCTACTTCGAACAAATACACTTTGAATGGTAAAACAATTAATGGAAACACTCCTAAGTAACGGTTTTTTATAAAGCTATGCATTTTAAGCCGCCTGGTAGAAGAGTTGCACCAACTCTCGAAAGCAGTGCATTAACTCACCTCTTTGCGTTTATCGCTTATTAACCCTATTGTCACACTAAGCCTTGGCAATGTTTCCATGCTAATCCCCAAGACTTCCATAGTCTGCTCAAACGCCGCACCCAAATCGTAGTTCCTCATAGTCGCATTTATTGGTGGATCAAAAAGAGTTGACGACATATTTGTTCACAGAGGGGTTTGATTCAGCTTACTCTATTCGCTAAAAGATCAACTGTAAGTGCTCAAAGGCATTTCAAAATGTCTCACTTGTATGCTTTGCAGTCCAACGTCAAAAATTGTCAAAAATCAATACGTACATAATTTTTAAATTCATCTTGTTTTCAATATGAAATTTGTCTCCATGTTGGAGACGTCTAGGAAGCACACTGGAGGCAAAACTTAATCACGAAATATCAGAAAAAGCGTAACTCGGTACCAGTGGAGACTTAGGCGCGAAATCCATCACACCGCAGCATGATTCGGATGGTTGTGCTGCTTTGGTTACTAACACGAGCCATAAGCACCCCTAGACGACTGATAAGCTTGCTTCAGCGGTAAAATACAGAGTCAACGATAAACACGAGAGCTGCCAAAAGTGAATTTAAAAATTCAAAGGGGCATCCTAGACCAAGAGCATAAGCGAGTAGGGATTTTGTTTAGGTTTTCTGGCCTGTGACATCAGTACTCTTACTCACTGGTGTGGCTGTAACCCCATATCTGGAAAGCAATTGAATGGCACGGTTTAATGGAAGCTACAAGACGGTGCACTCTAAAGCGAAACTTAAAATACCTGGTCACGTTTCTTGTTTTTGCACAAGCAAGCAGATTACAATCTGTAAAGTACCAGTTTGATCAACACATTTATGCATAATGCCTGCAGCGTTTTCCGGAAATTGTGGTACAATGTGAGTAGGCAATTTTATCTCAGGCAAATGATAATCCCAGGAATCCTCTAAAGATGATAGATTTCGGTATATCAGAGCAGAATAAGTACTGGTGGTGTACAGCGGGGCTTGGAATTATCCTCATGAGCCAAAGATGAAAAATCCTGGCGTAGTTGTACTGAATAGGTGTTGAATAATCATCGCCGAAATTGACATTTAGGCAAACAAACGGATAACAATTTAGTTGCAATACTTTGTTTATATGACCTCCTGATGCGTGA